AACACTGTAAGTGTAGTGCTGTTCACAAAACAAATATGGGGTAAGTAACAAATGTGAAATCTTGTTCGATTTAATCGCAATTGAAGATAAAAAGTTAAGGGGGGTGTTCTTTTTACTATTTTCAAGTCGATTTTTGTTTTCGATTTTTCAAAATAGTGAAAACGCATTCTTTTTTCCATTTTTCAAAAAGCATTTTTGAAAACAAGTTAAAAATTTACAAAGAAAATTCAAATCGACAAATTTGTTGTTTTGAGTGTTTTCAATTATAATCAAGTCAAAATTTTTAAAACACGTTTTGAGTATTTTTAAAACAATTTTTCAAAATGTCATCAAAAACACATTTTCAACCATTTTAAAATATACTCAAAACACAAAACTCAAACACAGAGAACATCCCTAACCTTTTTAAACATCTCCACGTGGGCAAGATAACAATGGGAATTTGACATTATCAAATATATTATTCTCCAATCCTTCAAAAAGACTTTCAAAACTAAACTCATCTAATGCAACATATGCAAATTGAACTTTTTTATTTTTTTTTTTAATCATCGCGAAAGATTCATTATTTAAAATCACCATTGCATTCCTTGCCAAGATAGTAAGAAGTCCATGAATGTAAGATAATCGTGCCACTAACTCTGTATTTCTAATGCCAAAAAAGCCATATTGCTCATCTCGAGATGGGTTCCTCGTAAAATTTAGTGGACTCTCATAATCCTCCAAATCAGTCTCGTTTGAGTCACTTTAAAATTTTTATTCTCATTCTTTTACTCATTTTCAACCACACATTCTTCAATAATTCATCACATCAATAACTTTTCAATCTTTTTCAACCACACATTCTCAATCAATCTACTATTCCAAAATTCATTCTTTCAAAATAATGTGGCTCAAACACATCCTAAATATGGAGCAAAAAGATACGTGACGAATTCTATCTCAACATTCATACAAAATCTAAATTCCTATACTCCGGCCAATCCCTTAATTGGCAGCTCTCCTTAGGCCATCAGAAACTTCTCCATCCTAAAGTTTTCAGTCGACAGCTCTATACATGTAATCAAACCCATGGCTAATCCCACCATCGTGCTGCCTCCCCTAGCTGCAAAGTGTGCACTACGGCCACCACCACGTGTCATTGGCATAAAGGTCACGTGATATGTTGTTGATGGATAACCCATGTGTCAAAATTTAAGTTGCTGGCGGATTTGTATTAGTTCATCTCTAC